ATATTGAGAAAAGTGCAATTGTTTTTAGAGAAAACTTGGTACAAGTGATCGTCAGGAAGAGTTAGTGATTTGCGTCTTTTATTATATAATTATATGGCGATAGTAAACCTTTAATAAGTATATATTTTTAAAACTGAACATAATAAAAAGATATGTGGATATTTGGATTTATTATTAGATATCCAACGAATAATTGTAACGTGATTTTTTTTTATAGAAAACGAACAAAATTATGTTTACCAGAGTTACAAAAATTATTGTTTATCAGAGTTACAAATTAAATTCTACCAAAATTATGTTTACCAGAGTTACGAATTAATTTCTACTAAAATTATGTTTATTTGTGTTATGAATTATATTAATGCTTAGACTTTTGATATTCTATTATAAACGAAGATTATATTATTAATTAATTAAAGTTACATATAGTAAATAATAAATATAAATAACAGTGAATTAGTCAATGTTTTGAGTATAATTTTATATTATGATATATGTGATTGTGTATATTTTTCCTTTTTATGTGCTTTTCATGCATTTTTTTCACTTTAGCTAATTACTATGTTTATTTAAACCCAGACAACCTAGATGGAGGGCGAACCGAAATTTATATACAAAAAGTAATTTCGTAAATAAACATTTTGAATAAGAAAATACATTTAAACAATCATGCGATACTTGTTTTTTAAGCAGTTATGAGGTCTTTAAAGTTGTCTAAATCATTTTGATTTTTTATATTTGGTCTTTTTAGCTGCCTTCAAATTATGGGTTACAACAGTAACTATATTCTGAAATAATATTTAACAATATTAGATTAATTTTAATGGTAAATCACATAATAATAAATGCACAAAATAGTTTGAAGAATAATACCCGTACTAATAATAATGCATATACTAATTCATGTACATTTTCCCAAGCAGTTTGTTTCAAAGGTATGTCCGCTTCAACGATTGGGAAGTAAAAATATATATTATTCTTTCTTTGAAGTCCATATATTTTCATGTGCTTGCCTAAACAAAAAAAAGGGGATAGTATCAATTGAAAAAAAACCAACAATACTAAGCTTACCAGTTATATTAATCCCCAAAATCGTAAGAAAAGAACAAATATCTTTGTTGTCTTTTAATTGTTTTTGGGTGGTCACAAAATTGTAACCACTTTTACATAAGCAAATCAATTTAGTATGATCTGATGAAACCTTTTTATCAGTAGTTTTGCATCTCCCACTTTCAACGTAAAGTAACTCAAGGGCTTTTTCACTAATTTTAACCGTAAACATGATGTCAGGTCGATCTCCAATTGCTGAAGTTTTTGTATTCACTGATTTATAATCTTGATTGGCGCGACTTTGCAGTTTTCCTCTAAAAAACACAAACATTACGTTAATAATGAAAATTTTCAAAACATACTGATATAAGAATAAAATTACTTTAACAAGTATGTAACATCCACTGGAAGATCATCCAATGCTACAGAAAGAAGTGGTTCTATAACTTGTGTCAGAAAGTTTCTCTCGGACTGATTTTTATTCCAATCCATACTCAATTTCCAAATATCATTCCTAAAAAAAGAATTATGTTTATAGTTATTTTACTCTTATATAGATAATGTTGATAATACATACAAACACTCGACAATGCATTGAGAACATTTCTTTCGCGACTCTAAAGTTTCTACCCAATGACCTAAGGAAGCAATGGAACTTTCGGAAATAATCCATTTAAGATTGGTGTTGTTTTGAGATTTTTGAATAACTTTTTTACACTCTTCCACCAAATCTTTTTCCAATTCCAATTTCTTTGAAAACACACCCTATATATAATTGATATAATTAATTTTCAAATCTATATATTAACTAAAATTTTACTTACTTTGGCAAAATTAATCGTGGTATCTTTGAATTTACTTGCCCACTTGGAGGTGATATCTATGACTTCCATATTTAACGAATCATAATCATTATTATCAGGAACTAATTTGTGCAAGATATTATAAATGTCTTGATAAGCATCACGTTCTTCATCAGAACATTCACCACGAAGAATTCGGTTCTAATTTATAACCATAAACATTATTCAAAAACCTCATTAAAAAATAATAATTTTAGGTTAAAATACTTTCCACACTTCGCTTTATGTTTAAGATATTTGTTGTAATATCTTGTATTTTTTCTTTTTTATGGGAAGTAACAAACTTCTTATTTACATGCAATGAATTCACCGTTGAAAATACACTTTTAATCTAAAAAATCATTAATAATTAGATCCAATTTAAAGTAATAAATCAATTATTCTTAGCAATCTATCTATACAAATCAGAACTCCCGGGAATGTTGATCATTTAAAAACAAGGACAGCCCCACTTCAGAAATTAAACATGCAAGTTCACTGACTATAACAAGGATGACACATTTTCAAGATTTGAAAAATCTAAATTCTGATATATCCCTACTGAATCGCGGTTGTTATAGCAAAGTACTTGCGATTATAAATGCATTCTTACTGAACTGTGGTTGTTTAAGATCACTTCTAACTCATCATTTATGTAAAATAACATTCAGAAATGTATTAAAGTATGCTTACGATTTCAGGTTGTATTTCTTTAAGAATATATAGCTTTTCTTTTCTTTGTTTTTCAAGTAATTCATCTTTTAATGCATATTCGATTGCGTCATAAAATATCTTAATTTCCTTTTCTTCTTCACCAGTCCACAGTTTTAACTCAATCCTATGGTAAAAAATGAGTGCTGGGTCAAGTGACTCTAAAGATAAACTTTTTAGATCTAATTTATCTAATTCGTAAAACATCTCAATATTGATCAACTTTGTGAAACAGGATACAGGTAACATGTGTATATGTTGTCAATCGGCCTAAATTAGAGTTAGAGTTAGGGTGAGTTAGACTATAGTTTAGGCCAATTGATGTTGATCAGTTAATGCTGGCCAAATATGTAACGACTCAGGTTACAAATAAACATTGGAAATAGATAAGACCATCTCAATATTTGATTTTGGTTCCCAAAATCCTTCTTGAGCATGAATTAAATTTTATCAATGCACAAGGATGACAGCATAGTTTATTTGGTGATTTGACCAAATCCTTCTTGAATGATAAATTATATATACGTATTTTAAGTATTTTAATATTTCACGTTCAAGGATGACAACAGTTTAGTGTTTAATGTTTATAAATTAATAATATCTATTTCAAATTAATGCCAATTGAATGTTTATATTTATTGCAAAATGTTTGAATTTTTTTGAACAATAATTTTCGAATTATTTTTTTTACATTTAGAATTCAGATTCGAATAAATCAAACCAGCTCGAAGAATTTTTTAAGAAGCTGTAAAAAATCAACAATATATAAATTATGGAATATATGTTGAAAGAAATGCCAAGGGCAAAGCATGGATTGAACTATTAAATAAAGTGTGTTCAAATCTTGATCTGGTGCAGACAAAAGCATTTCTAAATGATGTATGTTCGGTTTAGGTGATACCAACATTTTTTTGCAACACTATATCAAAACAAGATATTTAGTTGAATGGTAGAAAGTTCATCATAAAGTTTTGAAAAATGCATACCAATCTGTTAAAATTTGGGTTGATTTTTGTGACTTTATCTCTTCCTTAACATTGGCAGATAAGGTCTCGTGATCAGCATTTCTGTAGTGCTGGCCTCATAAACTATTTAGTTTAATATTGTACTCCAAAACTATAGTTAACTGTTGATTTTTTTTTTTTTTGAAAACTAGGTAGTTTAGTAGTTTGGTTTTATAACTATCTTTGCCTTTCAAGTTGACTTGTGAATTATAATAAATAATAATTATTAAAAATTATTTAATGAGTAGGTACTCATTCTAGACATAATCTCTCTTCCGATTTGATTTATAACATCAACTGAATTAATTATGTTTACCAGAGTTACGAATTAATTCTACTAAAATTATGCTTCAAATTAATTATATCAACATTATTAATTTTACTAAAATTATCGTACCACCAAAGTTAAGCTATTAAATGAGAAATGTCCATGGAGTTATTTGCTACAAATACAGTAAAGCAGAATTCAGGCATTGGTGAGTAGATTCGTAAACAAAGTCTACAAAGTCCATAAGTAGGCGATTAAACTCACCTTAGAAATGATTAATTATTAAAATTTAGAAATACATAAAAAACATAATCATGTGTTTTAAAGTTCCTTGTGATAAAAGTCAGAAATAACATTCTGTAAATTTCCTATTCAATTTTATTATTGAAAACTTATAAAGAGTTTTTTTTCTTATCAGAACATTCTCCGAATTATTATATTTGGGATAGGATAATTTAGATGAATATTGTCTATTGTTTTAAAACAACTTTTTGAATGCCTACATTAGAACCTATTATTCCTAATAAAAACACTTATTACTAAATAAAGTCTAAATTAGGTAACACAAGTCCCGTAAGGGAGTAGGCTCCCACGTTAGCTTAAACTGACTCATTTTTAGTAAGGTAGCGAAGAAGAATATTGCGAGCACCATTAATATCTCTATCAAGTTCTG